GCTTACCAGGGTGGATGAAATTAATGGCACTAAGTTGTATAGGTAACAATGGTTACAATGGCAGTTTTTTTTGAGGGGGGGTAATTTTTACTATATGATTCAAACCAAAATTAGGGAAGTAAAACCTTAAAGGATGCAGGGTGTAGTCTGGGCTCCCACTGCATTGAGGACATCTACAAACGCAGCAGATGGCCTCCAGCCTCCCCCAGACTGGTGCATCCTACCTCCGTGGCTGGGTAGCCCCAGCCATTACAGCTTGTCCCCCTCCCTGATCCCATGGCCTCCTGGTGGTCCTCGTGTGCCCCCTCTACAGTGCATCCACTTCCGTGGGCCCTCGGTTCCCATGTGCTTTGTATCATCTATCTGAGCAAGGCAGAGGCCAGATGGAGGAGGGCTGGAGCTGAGTGAGGGCTGAGAGGAACCTGACCGGGGCTGAGAGGGTGAAGAAGGGAGACTTTGTTCCTGACCCCGAGCTGTAGTTTATTGATCTTGAGCCTGGAGATCAGCTGTTATGTCCCTAATCAGCCATATGAACATGGCATCTGGGTGGCCATAGCAACAAATGGTCAGAACCAGCAAAGCACTACTTACCCTCACGAAGGGATCACTGAAGATATGCGTGCGGCAAAGAAATCAGATGGCACCTGATGAGAAAGAATAGCATCTGGGGTCTCACAACGTTGTCTTAAAACCAGCAGTCATCTGACTGAGGTGTCAGCTAATTCCACATAGAAGGAGCACACAGCCCAGGTGATCCAAGGACTGTGAGTAGTAAACTCCAAGATGAGAGGAGGGAGTTGTATTAGAGCTTACATTCTGAGCACCTGCCTTGCGGAAGGCTGTGGGTGACCGTGAAAGCTACAAACCCGTGAGGATGAAGCTTGTGGAGAATCCCCTCTGATCACTGACCCGTGATGTGAATACCACTGTTTGCTTTCCTTTGACGCACTTTTCATTTTGCTAGTTTTTATTGTCTGCTTTCACTTGGGCTGAGGTTTGTTTGTATTTTATTTTGTTGTCGTTGTTGGTGTTTTGGTATGATTTTCTTTATATGAAATCCAAGATATGTAGATCGATAGAGGCAGCAATTAGATGAATAGTTCCTTAGGGTTATGGCAGGGGAAGTCGAGAGGTAATGGGAAGCTAATAATTGTGGGTATAAGAAGGAAGAAACTGTTCTAAAACTGATTGTGGTGACAATTGTACAACCCTTTAATATATTTAAATGAATTACATGTCATTAAAACCGTTAACAAATGGTGCTGGTTCTGTTGAATTTCCATATGCAGAAAAATGAAAAAGGATCCATGCCACATACTATAACAAAAACAAATTCAAACAGATTAAAGACCTAAATGTTCAAACTAGAACTGTAAAATTCCGTGTGGGCTTTGTTGCTTCTGAGCTAGATGGCTGCTTGTTTACTTGCAAGCCTTTAAGACCCCAGATGCTACATCTTTTGATAGCCGGGCACCATCAGCTTTCTTTACCACATTTGTTCATGCACACAATTGTCTTCATCGATTGTGTCAGCCTGTGTGATTATGAGGTGTGGAAGGGATCAGGTATCAGGCATCAAAGAACAAGAAAACCATATCATTGTAAATGAGGGGGAGTGCAGAGTGGAGACCCAAAGCCCATTTGTAGGCAACTGGACACCACCTTAAATAATGGTCACAGGGAGGAGACTAGCCAGTCAGCATGCAGTGTAGCAACAACGAAACA